CTGGCTGCACCAGCCTTTCTTCTTGTGGGTGCTCGTGCCGTTCTCTAATCACGTGCACCGTTCTCCAAAATGCACACCCCGTGCTGCCTTGGACAACCTCAGAATCTTTCCAAAGGTTTTCTGAAACAGGGCAGGAACTATTCTACTGCACTATCTATAGGGTCATTTGTAATGCCTGTATCTTAGACTTGCTCCACCAGTAACCTGGAAGAAGAGACTCAAACTTTCTACAGTAGCAATATATTTTGCAGTGGCAGTGAAAATGAGGCACCAACTGGTGTAAGCTCTCCCATACTTATTATGGGAGGTATTATGATGGGAGTCAGAGGGCGGGCCGGAGAAGACATCTCCGGTGTTTAGTACTGGTGGCATGTTCCAGCCCTCTGGACTCAGACCCAGGCACTGGACAGCAGACCCATGGAGACCCTGGCTTTCAGCTGCTGCTTCTTAATGCCAGGTCAGTCAACAAGGCCCCCCTTATATGTCAGTTGATCATTGAGGAGCAGGCCGACCTGGCATGTATCACTGAGACCTGGCTGGGCCCTGAAGTGGGGGCACCCCTTTCAGAAATGTGCCCGGCTGGGTTTACGGTTTGGCACCAGCTGAGACCCTAGGGTAGAGGAGAGGTAGCAGTTGTCATTAGAGAATCTCTGTTGGCCTTCAGGGGTGCTGCTCCACAAGTGGCTGGTCGTGAGACCCTGTTCCTGACGTCGGGCTCATGAGCACAGTTGGAGGAGTTGTTACTGTACCAGCCTCCATGCTATGTAGCAACTTCCCTGTCTGAGCAACTGGAGGCCATCGCGGGGCTGGCAGTGGAGTTCCCCAGACTGATGGTCCTGGGGGACTTCAATCTGCCATCCCTGGGGCGTGCCTCAGAGGCAGCCCAGGAGTTCATGGTTACCATGGCAGCCATGGGCCTGTCCCAGATTATTTGTGACCTGACTTGGGACAGTGGTCTAACAGCAGACTTGGTTTTCTTGTCAGAGCAGTAGCAATGTGATCTGAAGGAGGAATTACATCTGTCCCCCTTGTCATGGTCAGATCATGTGAGCAGTAGCAATGTGATCTGAAGGAGGAATTACATCTGTCCCCCTTGTCATGGTCAGATCATGTGAGCAGTAGCAATGTGATCTGAAGGAGGAATTACATCTGTCCCCCTTGTCATGGTCAGATCATGTGAGCAGTAGCAATGTGATCTGAAGGAGGAATTACATCTGTCCCCCTTGTCATGGTCAGATCATGTCCTGGTGGCCTTGAGATTCTCCTATGCTACTCTCCTCCACAGGGAGGTAGGGCCCATTTAATTGATCCGCCCCTGGTGACTGATGGATCCAATTGGGTTCCAAAGGGAGCTGGGGTTATACCCAAGAGTCCGCTGCATGGTCCAGTGGAGGCCTCGGCCACTGGAATAGGAAACCAGCTGAGGCCTTGGACAAGATCATGCCTGTGCGACCTCTCTTAACCCATCAAACCCGACACTCCTTGTGGTTTATGGAGTTGAGGGTTTTGAAAAGGATTAAAAGACATCTAGAGCACTGCTGGAGGAAAACAAGGACCAAACCCAACCGAACACAAGCTAGAGCCACTATTAAGGCCTACCTTGTGGCGGTAAGAGTGGCGAAACATCCATATCTCTCCGCTCTTATTGCATCCGCAGAATGCCGCCCAGCGGCCCTGTTTAAGATCACCCAATCTCTTTTGGGAAAAGGGGGCTCAGTAGCCCATTTAAAGGGCCGCACAGAGGAGTTTTCTAGGCATCTGGAGGATAAAATCACTTGGATCCAGTTCCAGTTGGATACCAAGCGTGAGGCATGGTCTATAGAGATGCCCAGGGTACGTTCTTACCCTGTTATCTGGGAAGAGTTTGATTCTGTTGAACCTGAGGAAGTGGACAGGGTCAGTGCCACCACCTGTCAATTAGATCCATGCCCCTCCTGGTTAAAGCTTCCTGGGAGGTGACATGTGGGTGGGTCCAGGCAATGGTGAATTCATTCTTGAGGGAGGGGGTGTTTCCAGCTGCCTTTAAAGAGGCACTGGTGCACCCCCTCCTCAAGAAGCTATCACTGGATCCCACCATACAGGACAATTTTCTTTTTAAGGAAGGTGGTGGCATTGTGGCTCCAGGGGATTCTGGAGGAAATGGATTATCTGGACCCTTTTCAGTCAGGTTTCAGGCCTGGATACGGGATGGAAACGGCACTGGTCACACTCATGGATGATCTCTGGCAGGAGTGGAATGGGGTAGTGCATCCATCCTTGCTCTTCTTGACCTCTCAGCGGCTTTCGATACCATTGACCACGGTATCCTTTTGGGTCAACTTGGGGAGTTAGGAGTGGGTAGCACAGTTTTGTGCTGGTTCTCTTCCTTCCTCTAAGGTCAATCTCAATCAGTGTTGATTGGGGGCAAGAGGTCCAGCTTGTGGCCCCTCCTTTGTGGGGTACCCAGGGTTTGGTACTCTCTCTGATCCTTTTTAACATCTACATGAAACCACTGAGTGAGATCATCTGCCACCATGGGATCAATATGCAGATGAAACCCAGTTATACATCTCCATCCCGGGTGAGGTGAGTGATGCCGTGACCCTTTCGCAGTGCCTGGAGACTGTGGGAGTCTGGATGGGGTGCAACAGGCTTCAGCTGAACAGACCCGGTGCTTAACCCGCTTCAGCCCTGGACAGACCCGGTGCTTAACCTGGGGGTCCTTCCGGACTGCTTGAGGAGCAGGTGGCAGTTGTGGCCAGGAGAGCTTTTGCCCACCTCCATGTGATACACCAGCTATGCCCCTTCCTGGATCAGGAGGCTCTCCAGTCAGTCACTCACACCCTGGTCATCTCTTGGCTAGACTATTGCAATGTGCTCTACATGGGGCTACCTTTGAAGAGTATCTGGAAGCTACAGTTGGTCCAAAATGCAGCTGCACAGATAATTTTGAGTGCCCCAAGAATGGCGCATATAACACCTTTAACTAGTGAGCTGTGTTGGGTCCCAGTCTGCTTCCAGGTCCAATTCAAAGTTTTGGTTATCACCTTTAAAGCTCTACACGGCATGAGTCCAGGTTACCTAAGGGATTGTCTTACCCCCATCACATCAACCCATCACACCTGGTCAAGCAGAGAGAACATGTTGCGGGTCCTGTCAGCAAGAGAATGTCAACTGGCAGGGCCCAGGAGGAGAGCCTTCTCTGTCATTGCCCCCACCCTTTGGAACATTCTCCCCCCAGAGGTGTGGCAGGCCCCTACCCTACCAGCCTTCTGGAAAGAATTAAAGACCTGGCTCTGCCAGCTTGCGTGGGATGATAACAACCTTACCCAATCCTGGGGGTGGCTAGCATCTAAATGATGCTCCCTGAGTGACTGCCAATTATTTTTGGATCTATTTATTTTCTATTTATTATTGTAATTTTAATTGATTTTAATTGTTTTGTAAACCGCCCAGAGTCGTTTAATGAGATGGTGGTGACAAATTAAATAAATAAATAATCTTAGTTTACTCGCTGAACACTTTGATGTTATTCAAAGTTCTATTTTATATTATTGTCTTTAGTATTTTTTTCTGTTTATGGCCTTTCTATATATGTACGAAACATAGGATGAAAAAGGCTCATTTATTTTAATAAGTCAAAATAATCACTAGAAAAAAATAGACAAACCAGCTGTATGGGTTCTCTTCAAACTGAACCACAACAAGCCAGCCACATTTTAGTTTAGGGTGTTTTATAAAACTGTAAACCTAGAAAATTGGATTGAATGTTGAAGTCAACTGTGGGTAACCGCATGGTACAAATATTGTTATAAAGCCAATTTATGAATGAAGGTACTGATTGGGATTGTACAGAGCTTCAAAGGGCTATTTTACTTCAATTAAGTTCAGTCAAGATACTCAACAAAGAGTATATTCTAAGCAGCAGCCAAGTACTTCAGTCAACAGAAGGACTTTTGCACGTGCACAAGATCACTTTTCTTGTAATAAGATAGCCAGCTGGGGTGGAGCACTTCACCTTTGTGATGCAAAATGCCTGATCAAGGAAAGTAGGTCCACTTCACATATTCCAGGGGCTGATGTAGTTCCCACTAAAATCAGGGAAGTTAGGCCAGACACAAGGTCAAATTCATCCTGGATGGGAAAAAAATTCAGGCGAACTGGGCTTTTCTGTGTTTATTTTTAAGATATGTATTCATACATCATGGCATACAGCTGTGTATTATATTTAAATGTCTGAAAAAACCTCACAGGCAAAACATGAACATGCAAGCGTAGATGTAGTGTATTCCTTGTTTCCAGGTTGTAGAAGATAATTAAAAATGATCAGCATTAAGCTGGATACTTACAGTATTTTTTAAATTTTAAATTCTTTTAAAAAATGACCACTTTCAGCAAGATGATTACATGCTTTAATTTGCACTCATTATATGAAGAGGAGTTAGAATTACTATGTATCACGTTTGCATCCCACAATACTTCCAGTATGTTCAGGGTAGAATGCAGAGGAGGTACATATTTTATTCACATTGATACCCTGGATTTGATAAAACTCAATGGAATATATGAGCTAAGGAGTGCATAAAGCAGGCACTTTGCACCACAGAGATGACATGGTCTACCTCAATTAATCCCCTCAATTCCAGCCAAAAAGTACTGCAGCTGCTCCATTGCAACTGGGAGAGGGATACTCTTTTGTTCAAAGGCATCCTTTGTTCAAAATTTCATAATAGCAAAGTGCCCTTTTACAACCTTGTGTCACTCAGGCTGTACATTAATGTTTTAAAATTATGGATGATGAAATGGTATGAAATTCTAGGCATGGGGGAACTAAATAGAATAGTACTATCTGCTTTTACATAGTTTCACGGATTGCATTTACTGAATTCAATCTACCAAATTCAATCCAACAGAACAGACTTTCTTCAGCTGTTGAAACTGAAGGGGATGCAGAGGTAATAGTAATTGATAAATCACATTTAAAACACTTATCAACATTCAAACTAAATTAAGTTTCTTACATCCAAATTGTCACAAGAAAAATACTGGTTGCTGTGGAAGATATTAAAAAGGCCGTCCACATTGGTAGAATTTCTGAAAAACAGTAACAAAGAAGAAACATTTATTTATCAGCCCTACTTTATCTAACACAAAAATCAAGCCTGCTACTGAAGTCCTGGATAAGGTTTAGGTCATGTGAAAAGGTTAGTCAGTGATCACTAACAGGAGGTGCTATCCTGCTAAACTTTGCAGAATTCTCTGAAGCAGTAATTAAAGGTGGAAGGTGTTGATCTTGGACAATATTATGAAGTCATCAGCACTTTTAGACTGATCTGCAAATGATTTAGACAACAACAAAACAAAACAAAGAAAAACCTGTCAAGATAGTTTGGAAGAAAGTACAAAAGAGGCAGATGTACAGAAGTTCCAGTTCATGGAAGAACTGGAACTGCATCTATGCTATTTTATCATCTTAAAAATACTGTACTTCTGTACCAGCCTTAAAATTCCTCCGGATGCCTAACCTTAATCTACCTCCCTGTAGTTTTTAATCCACTGTCTCTTCTATATGATGACATTTTAGATATTTGAAGATATATTTTTATGGCTGGAGTTGTTTTGTATTTAATTGTTGTTTTAATTTTGTAAAGCCACCAGAGTTGTCTGGAATGGGGAGGCCTACAAATTTAACAAAGACTGCTACCATATCTCTCCTCAGCTCTCTCTTTTGTATGGTCATCATACTTATTTGTTTTAATTGATCCTTATTTCCAGTCCTCTCACAATCCTGATAGTGGTCTTTGCAACTCCCTGCAGTTTGTCAATGCTCTTTTTAGGTTGCAATGCCCAGACCAGGTCCTAGACACTTCTAGTACTCTGTCAAGCTGTGGGGGCATATATACAAATTCAAATATAATGAATTTCATCAATTTTATCCACATAGTCACAGCAAGGAACTGAGGATATTACTACATTTTTCACAGAACCTATCAGTAGAAATCTCCAGTGTTTAAAACATGGAGCTTTTCTAGCCTGTAAAGTAGCAGTTCCGAGCTGAGCTTGGAACAATGAAGCGCACTGACTTGGTCAGTTCTTAAATGGGAGACACCAGGAAATTTATTTATGTATTTATTTACACAATTTATTAGCTGCCCATCTCACTTTTCCAAGCGACTCTGGGCATGCACAACAGGGTTAAAAAACAATCAATAAATACATTAAAAATTATTTAAAAATATAAAAAACAAATTAAATCAGAAAATAATAGGCAAAGGGATGTTAAAAATAATGGAGCTACCTCATTAGATCACCCGTCCCCTGTGGCCCCCAGGCCTGGTGGCACAACCAAGTCTTGAGGGACTTCTGGAAGCTCAGCATTGATGAGGCCAACCTTACCTTAGGGGGAAGAAGATTCCACAGCGCAGGTGCCACAGCAGAAAAGGCTCACCACCTAGAGCCCACCAAATGTAGCTCCCTAGGCGTCGGAACCTGTAACGTGCCCTGTCTTCTGGATCTGGTAGGACAGGCAGATGAACCCGGTCCCATGCCACGAAGGGCTTTAAAGGTCAATACCAGCACCTTGAATTGGACCCAGAAACAAATGGTAACCAATGCAGCTCACAAAGCAGAGGTATAATGAAGCACACACAACCGCTCGCACTGCTGCATTTTGCACCAGCTGAAGTTTCCAGATACTCTTCAAGGGCAGCCCCATGTAGAGTGCATTGCAGTAGTCTAAGTGGGAGGTGACCAGGGCATGAGTGACCATGAGAAGGTCCTCCTGATCCAAGAATAGGTGCAACTGGCACACAATATGAAGTTGTGCAAAGGCCCTCCTAGCCACGACTGCCACCTCATTGAGCAGGAGTTGCGAGTCCAGGAGCACCCCCAGATTGTGCACAGGGTCTGAATTGGGGCAGTGCGACCCAATTCAGAACCAGAGGTGGTCAAGTCCTAGAACCAGTGGGGCCCAAAACCCAAAGCCACCCAGTCGTGCCGGGGTTCAGTTGAAGACTGTTGTTTTCCATCCAGACCCTCACAGCTTCCAGACACCAGGACAGGATATCCACAGCATCACTTAATTCATCAGAGACAGAGATGTACAATTGAGTAACATCAGCATACTGATGGTACCACACCCCATCACAATGGATGAGTTCACCCAGTGGTCTCATGTAGATGTTAAATAGGAGAACAGAGAGCACCAATCCCTGAGGCACCCCACTTAGTAGGGGCCAAGGGTGGGATCTCTCCTTCCCAATCACCACCAACTGGAACCAACCCCATAGAAAGGAGGAGAACCAGCACAACACCATGCTGCTCACCTCCAATCCTCTGAGTCAATCCAGAAGGATACAATGGTTGATAGTATCGAAGGCTGTTGAGGTCAAATAGGCAAGGATGGATGCACAACCACCATCCCACTCTTGCCAGAGATCATCCAAAAGCATGATGAATGCCATTTCCATACCACACCCAGGGTATTCAGCTTTAATTTTCATATAAGCTCCTTTTCTTAAAGCATGATGCTCAACCTTTCCTGGTATTTGCCCTGGATTCCTTCCTTGAGGGTTGCCATTAAGAATGGGCTGTAAATTAGAACGAGTAATTGAAAACAGTATCCCGGATGGCCAGTCTGTTCCCTATTTGGCCATACAGTGGTACCTCGGGATACGAACACCTCTACTAACGAACTTTTCGGGTTACGACCAGCTCCAGCCGCAAAAATTTACCTCGATGGGCGAACTCTGCCTCGGGGTACGGCCATTTTTGCGCCCTGACACGTGGTCTGCGGCCATTTTTCCGCCCCTGACACGTGGTCTGCGGCCATTTTTCCGCC